TCCTTTGATGTGTTATCTGAAAACGTCTAAAGCACGACTCCAGGCTAATTTTCTCCACTAGTAGCACTGGTGACTGGCTACTATCAACTGTCAACTGAAATTTTGAGGGGCACCAGCAAAAAATTTAGTAGGACCACAAATCAGTATGCAACTCCCTGGGGCCTAAATTCTACAGAGGCCATGTAGACCATTTGCCATTGCCACACAGTCACACTTGACACCACTGTGATGTTAGCTGAGATGCTAATTTTAGCAAACGAAAAAACAGGCTCAAAACAAAATGTACATACCAGAAAACATGAACAGCGCTCTCCTTAGAGTATCTTTCAGTACAATCGAACACTGAATAAGACATTTTTAGGTGACCAAAATGAAACACACTGTGAAAGGGTCAAAGCTCCTAGATGAAAACACAGACAGCACCCCAAAAACAAGTTCTCGGCTAGTTAAACGTGCACAGTACAGTGGATACGATTCAACTTTATCTATGTATTGACAGGTCACTATGGTAGCATATTGTCAATTACAAGGTAACCACACCATAAAGCACACCCTGCTTTATGGGCTAGTTTCTTCTAAATGGGACCACAATTTACTAAATGAACATCATGCTGTATTGAAGAAGACTTGAAACTAAAAATTGAGACCATAAACTCATTAGGAAAGTCTTTAGAGAGCAAGAAAATCACGTGAGAGGTGCAATCAGACTTATTTTTGCAACCATTGGAGTCACCCCTGCTGGCCATTAGAAAGAATGCAGGTTTAAGGCACTTTCACATTGGCTTCACTTTTCAGACCTAGAGGTTTGGAAAAAATGTATCTGAATCCGAATTACCGGATTTTCAGATGTGTAGGTTATTGTATTGTAAAACACAAGTAACAAAAGTAATAAAAATTAAGATTGGGTCAGCAGGATTAAAGTGTCAGTTTCTAATGAGTCATTAGGGCATAACAAAACAAAATACCTTCTCCCAAACAGAATCTTCTGAGCCACTCCACTTTGCAAGTTCATTGGTCAATATTTCAAAAACGAAATGAGATATTAACAACCTTTACACAACTTTAGATAAGCTATCTACCAAAAAGTTCGTATAAATCAGAGGTGAGGAATGAAATGTCACTTACATGACACATCCTGAATGACCTCAATGACCCCCCTCATTTGCATAATGAAGCAGAAATGCATAATGAAATGTATAAAGAAAACAAAGAAATAAATAAGTTTGGGTAAATAAATATGGGCTAAAGGTTAATAATCCATAAATATAATACATTTAAAAATTAATACGTTAATGAGTAAATAAAATGGAAAATGAAAGGAGAAAGTAAATAAATGAGGTATTAATACAAGGGTAAATAAAAACAGAAGCAAATTTAGGCAAATATAAATTTAAGTCCTTTTTAAATTAATTAATGCCTACATTTATTTTTTTAGATTATTTTGATGCATTTAATCGTGTATTATTTTATTTGTTGAGTGATCTATTTATTTTCTTTCGATTTTGGCAGTTTTGGTCCTCAAACATATTGCTGTCAGTGTGGAAAGGCCTTTGAACTACCATAAAACAATATAATTTTCCACTGAAAAACGGGCTGTGGGTGATAAGCTCCTCAAATCTGGCTAAAGCACTCTTCATTGCAGGTTTTATAGACTTATCCTGTTGAAGCTAACAAAACTAAATTGTATCCTTATTTATTATATTAGCAATGACCAACACACATTAGCTGCTATTCAGATATTTAGTTAAAGTCCAGTAGCAGCAAATCAATAAATCAGCATTCTCTAATAGAGTGATACAGAAGATGTACTAGGTAATTTTTTTTAAGAAAGTGGAAATACTAGGGCAACACAAAGTCCTTTATTAGACACGCCTGTGATGGGCCCAGTGTAAAATCCACATAATTGGTGCACAGATGTCACATATGCTGTTGACATTTCACCGAGCAGAAACAATTTGGCCATGTGAAATAAATGGAGAGGAGGGGGAGCTGTGAGAAGAGAGTGAGGAGGAAAAAGAGGATGACAAAGAGGGAAAGAGACAGTATTACTAGAGAGGATGTAAAAAGAATAAAGGGAGATAAAGTTAAAGTGGGAGTGGGCTTGGGTTCAGTAAAGACAGACATTAATAGATTCTGGGAGAGAATGAGTCATTTTAACAGGACATTTTATTAGAGTGGATAAGACCATTACATGAAACACAGCTCTGCCAGATGAATGAAATGAGTTGTCTATGTTAGTTTGGTAATAAAGGTGTGCGAGCAACCTGCCATTAACCACATTAGATATGTTCTGAACATGAGTGGGCAATGTTCAAAGCTTCTATTGCTGAAGCCGCAGCGGGAAGCTGTCGTCTCAAGGTCTTAGGTGCCTCAGGGGGCGGTAACCCTCGAACACAGTGGTGGACACCGGTGGTCAAGGAAGCTGTCCGACTGAAGAAGGAGGCCTTCCGGGATTTATTGTCTCGGAGGAGTCTGGAGGCGGTTGCAAGGTACCGACAGGCCCAAGGGCTGCAGCCTCTGCTGTGGCAGTTGCAAAGCAGCGGGTGTGGGAGAAGTTCGGAGAAGACATGGAGAAGGACTTTCAGTCGGCACCAAAGTGCTTCTGGAGAACTGTCCGCCACCTCAGGAGGGGGAGGCGGGGAACTGTCCAAGCTGTGTACAGTAAGGATGGGACTCTTGGACCCAGTGAAACAACTGACCAGCTCTTTACTCTCACAACGATCCTGGAGTGGGCTTGGGAATATGCCCATCCAGTCTACATGTGCTTTGTAGATCTGGAGAACGCACATGACTGGGTCCCCCGGGAGATACTGTGGGAGGATTATGGGGTGAGGGGGGCCTTTCTCAGGGCTATCCAATCCCTGTACATCCAAAGCAAGAGCTGTGTCCGAGTACTTGGCAGTAAGTCGGACTCTTTCCAGGTGAGGGTTGGCCTTCGCCATGGCTGCGCTTTGTCACCAGTCCTGTTTGTGATATTCATGGGCAGGATATCGAGGCGTAGTCATGGTGTGAAGGGGTTGCGGTTCGGCTTGGGATCTCGTCACTGCTTTTTGCGGATGATGTGGTCCTGATGGCATCATCGGTCCGTGACCTTCAGCTCTCACTGGATCAGTTCGCAGCAGAGTGTGAAGCGGTTGGGATGAGGATTAGCACCTCTAAATCTGTGGCCATGGTTCTCAGCAGGAAACCGGTGGAGTGCCAACTCCAGGTAGGGAATGAGTCCTTACCCCAAGTGAAGTAGTTCAAGTACCTCGGGGTCTTGTTCACAAGTGAGGGGAGATTGTAGCAGGAGATTGGCCGGAGAATCAGAGCAGTGGGGGCAGTATTGCACTCACTTTACCGCACCGTTGTGACGAAAAGAGAGCTGAGCCATAAGGCAAAGCTCTCGATCTACCGGTCAATTTTCATTCCTACCCTCACCTATTGTCATGAAAGCTGGTTCCTGACTGAAAGAACGAGATCACGGGTACAAGCGGCCGAAATGGGTTTTTCTCAGGCTGGTGGCTGGTGTCTCCCTTAGAGATAGGGTGAGAAGTTCGGCAATCTGCAAGGAGCTCAGACTAGAGCCGCTGCTCCTTTGCGTCGAAAGGAGCCAGTTGAGGTGGTTTGGGCATCTGGTGAGGTGTGAGGTGAGGTGTTCCAGGTACGTCCAGCTGGGAGGAGGCCTCGGGGAAGACCCAGGACTAGGTGGAGAGATAATATCTCCACACTGGCCTGGGAACGCCTCGGGATCCTCCAGTCAGAGCTGGTTAATGTGGCTCGGGAAAGAGATGTTTGGGGTCCCCTGCTGGAGCTGCTGCCCCCACGACCCGATCCCGGATAAGCGGATGAAGATGGATGTGAGAAAATTCAGCTGTTAAAAAACACTAGCTTGTTAAAGCTGATTTTATGAGCAAAGTCAGCCTTTTACTGTCTCTTACGTCCGGGCATTAATGGGCATAGCTTTGGAAATTTCTCGCTGAAAGGAGGTTCTACAGTTTCCTTGAAAATAGGAAGAGTCGACAAGGGCACTTCTGACAGTACTGAGAAGTTTGGCAGGATGGCATCCCCAAGATTTGCATGGAATCACCTACTGTGCCTACTGTCCATCACTGAAATGTTCATGAATTTAAAAAACACAGTGTGCAGGTTTACACGATATTTAATTCAAAACAAGTGTCAGCTCTTTCGCCAAACATTTGGCTTTATTTTCAGAAACACACCATGCTCACACTTTTTGGTATGTTGTGCCAGTACCTACGGTTTATTTGAATCCTGCTAATTGGTCCCAAATCGATGCAACAAATTATGCTCTCAATTTGCCCTGTAGCCCGAAACAAATGCTACAAACAGCCCATGCTCGTCAGGTATCTGAGCTCCATCCACTATGTGCAGCTCCCAGCACTGAACTCAGCAAACTTAACATTGAGGGAAGTCAAATGAGGCTCACTGCCCCCCCCCCCCCACCCTCCTCCCCCTCCTCCCTCTGGTAAACACTGGCACCGCTGCTGGCCGACCTTGTCCAACCTGCACACTGATAGAGATAAGCAGCCCTCAGGACAATACAACGAGAGTTACTGCTCATAATCTCCACTTGCTGCTGTGCTGAAAGGTCAAGCGTAACTGTGGCTGGAGCAGGACAGGGCTGCCGAGGTTGGTGGGAGTTTCTGTAACACCTGCAGGTGGAAAGGAACCCCGGCCTGAAACTGATCTAATTCTATTCGTATACACCAGAGCCTTCCCTCCACTCAAACCAACCCCCTCCCCCTAAGCTCTACATATTCCCCCTTGTAATTGAGTTGACTGTCTTCTAAAGGAGAACTCCCCATCTGCACACGGCAGTGTTGCAGCTAGGTGGTGGGGGTGGTTCATGGCACCAAGGTTATGGTAACTAAAGTAGAGATTTTGAACTATAGTCAGAAAGATAGGCCTGCTAGCCTAAAGCTCAGCGCTAATGATGAGATTCTTGCTTTGATGCTTATGTAACCCCCCTCCCTCCTCTGTGTCTTTGTGTGGTGCAGGTTTTGTGTGGGAGACAAGTTTTTCCTGAAGAACAACATGATCCTTTGCCAGACAGACTACGAGGACGGGCTGATGAAGGAGGGCTACGCTCCCCAGGTCCGTTGACCCTTGCATGCCAACAAGGAGGAAGAGGGGGAGTGAGAGAAAGAGAGAGACTGCAGGAGACCTTGTAATCACACAACAAAAAGCACTATTGCCTCCTGTCCAGCTCCGGTCCCCCACATGTACATAACTAAGCAAGCCTCCCAGGGAGGGGACACACTGCTGTACAGAATAGCCATAGAAACGCCAGTGTGGCAGGGAAAGGCCCTGGAAGCCTACAACAAACTTCAAGTATGAAAAAATTTGTTTGTTCATTTCTTTGTTTGTGACTTACGGATGTTGCCTCTTTCCTGACAACAAATACCTGCCTCAGAGCAATTTCTAACCAACAGCTGATCCCGGTGGTTGGGAAAAAATAAATTAACCAACCCAAAATCAGTCTTGCCTCACCTTATCTGACAAAGACAGACAGCGTCCCACCCGACTGCACAGTCCAACAACTTCTACTTGAATCTAAAATACACTAAGGTATTGTCAATCAATTTTGGGATAAAGACCTTTTTACTGTATATCAGATTCAAAACACGAATGTAAACTGAAGAGCAGCAAAAATAATGCTGATGACTGATATGTTGTTGTGTGTGTGTGTGTGTGTGTGTGTGTGTGTGTGTTGAGGACTTCAGTCTCTTGAGTCTTGGTCTGATCCATATAGTTCTTTTCAGAACTTTATGATTGAAAAATTGATCACTACAGTATCTCCATGCTTGCAAATCTCCTGCATTGTCCATCAGGCAAAGACTCAGGAGTTTGTGAAAGAATCAGTGCTTTTCTCTGGATGGAAGAAATCTCTCATCACTTCTCATAATCACTACCTAAATATATTTGACCACCATGTCTCTTGTGGACCAATGACCCTTTTTCTGGTAGCACCATTTCAGAATCAACAAGTAAAAGTGTAATTGGCTATTTTGAATGTCTACTAAAATACCTTTGTTGGTCAAAGTTAGCGTTTTTGAATACATTAGAGCTGCACTAAACAGTAATTGTTTTTATATAAACAATGGAAAAAATTACTAAACTTAATGAGAAAGTTGTCTCTGGAAGGGATGAATACAGAATTGTCACCTGACTTTCAGCTCTTTTGAGCTTTTTAGCCTCTAGCCTGTTCAGCACCAAACAGCAGTCAAAGTTAGCAACTAAGCATCTAGCAGCTAAAGAGACAGATATTTTTCACGTGAGTTGGTGGAAACCAAACCAGAGATAAAAGGAGAGTAAACACTCTGGTGGTCTTCCATCCAAGAGGTAGACACAAACATGAGTCTAATGAGATGCTAATGTTGCTGTGTCTGCTAGATGTGTGAAAAGGCAAGTGTTTGCTAACACATTAGGCAACAACTTTATACCGAGATAATACAGTATGTCAGATTTTATGTTTTGAGCTTGCTCTACTGCCCCCAAGTGGCCAAAAACAATTAAAGCAGCTTTGAACTTTATGGACCAGGATTTATGCCTGTTGACAAACACCTGGGTATGAGAGACTATCTTTCATGGGGTGACAAGTCAGTTCTATTCCTGAAATGCATTCCTCCAGAGCTACTTTCAGCAGCCAGTTTGGACTGTGACTCAAGGCTCTGTTCTTGTGAAGGAAGGCTGTGTATTTTTCGCTGGAGACAGTCTTTCTATTTATTAAAACCATGCATTCACACTGGTCCAACTAAAATCTGTGGAAATGTTTGTGTGCAGGTTGTTGAAGCAGCTGTAGTGGGATCAGTAGGGGATGGTGGGGGTTGGTGGGGGATGGTTACTTTTTGTGCACTATTTATTTGATAAGCATTCGGTGCATCACCTGTTGTCCAAAATGTGACATTGTTTGATATGCTGATACTTGAATCCAATCATTGATTTCTCAATCACTGTTTGGCTTATATTGATTCATTTTCGACACAGCTTTGGGTTCAGTTAATTGCACTCTGCAGCAGGTCAGTCACCTTAAGATCCAGTCATCTCGGTTACAATGGCTCCCTGCTGCAGAAGAGTTAAGTCCTTTTCTGCTGAGAAAAAAAACAAAACTTTGTATATTAAATATCAGCATCTGAGCGTGTGCAACAGCTCAAAGAAAAATTTCTTAGCTGGAAAATAAAAAACCCTTCTTTAATTTGTAAATTGTGGGTGTACATAAAATAAATATTCATTTTTGCTTGCTATTGTACAATGATTTCTTTTTATGTGTCATCCAGCATGAGATGTTTATTTTTAGGCCAACACTTGTAAATACTATAATTGTAATAATTTTAAGCACAAATGTAATACAGTTTTATTGTGTTACCAGTGAGTGTGGCGTGTTTTTTCTCTCATTCTTATAGATTTGCTTGTTAGTTCAATAGCTGTCAGGCTATGATTTATATCTGAAGAAAGTTTTACACTTTTATACTTTACATATCCATTCATAAGTCACTGTGTTTGGTGAAGCAACTAAGGTTAAGTATCTAGTTCAAGGGCAAAGTATTAGATGCAAAACAGCCGTCAGAAAGAGCCTTTTCCCTGTCCATTACCCTAACCAGCGGAGCATATTGCAGCCAATGATTTATGATTGATCTAAAGTGCAATCATTTCCTCAGTTTGTTGTCTCTGCTGCTTGTAAAATGCAATTTTTAGTTTATTTCTGATGAAAGGTAGCGCACCACAGTGGTTGCAGGGTTAAAATTTAACATTCAAATGGGATCTTCATGCATTTTCAAATCCATCTTTTGTTCAACCCTAAAAACACAAGTATTCGTCTTGTCAAAGGGAAAAGTGGATTTTCTATTTTGGTACTGTCCTGTGTCAAACATGGAACAAGAGAAAAACCAATGTTACATTTATACTTTACCGTCAGCAGCTTTCAAGAAGGGGGCCAGCTAACTCCCCGTGGGTTGTTTCAACTAATTACCTGGATTTCAATTTAGAATAATCTGGAATGTCGAGGTAAAACATTTGGATTAAAGTTATTGCTCTAATTAGCGAGGTGCCTCTAAACTGCCCTGTGAAGTTTGTCGACACTGATGCTTACATAATATTACAGAGCATAATATCCAGGCCAATTAAGCTAATTGAATTTCCTTATCCAGAGACACAAAGGAGAGAGAGAAACTCTTTGATTAGGCTCAAGCTGTTGAAAGACCTTTAGTAGATGAAAACACTCAGAGTAGATGGAGATTAGAGCCTAGTCAAATTAAGAGAAAGTGTGGCAACCATAGGGAGATTTTTTACCAGTGGCAGACATATGTCATGTGTAACTATGGATCAGCCTGTCTGGAGTCAGATGTTAAACGCTGATGCTGATAATGTAATGATTACTGCCATGTTGTCTGGTGTCACAGGGATTATACAACACAATGCGATGGCTGAGATATGTACAATGTTTTAATTAAGAAGCTGTACTATTTTGTGCAGGGATGTGCAAAATAGATGCTATATTGCCTTCTCTGCAAACTGCAGATGTGCTGCAGCCTGCCCTTGTCCTTGTCAGTACCAGCAGCATACCAGATGGTGATGGAGGAGCTGAGGATGGACTCATTGATGGCGGTGTAGAAGTGCACCATTATCTTTAGCAGCTTCCATAGCTGCTGCAGGAAGTACATTCTCTGCTGGACCTTCTTGGAGACAAAGCAAATGTTCAGCTCCCACTTGAGGTCCTGGGTGATCACGCCCAGGAAACGGAATGACTCCACAGTGTCGACTGGGGAGTCACTATAGGGGCAGGTGGGGCTGGGTACTTCCTTTAATCCACAACCATCTAAACTTTAAGATCAGTGTCACTCTGTTAATACCTCAACTTAACAGTGGAACAACAATGCCCCCCCCGCTTCCGTGTTTGTACGTTTTATTCTGAATGGTGAGGCAAACTGGTATGTTTTTGTGTGGACTGACCCAAGTAAGGACACAGACTCAATCTTAAAGTTGTAACAAACGAGTTTATTAATAAACTGAGATTGGGGGGGAAGTAGTGTGGCTGTAGTTGTCTTGAGTATCCAGGAGGCATAATGGCTGAGGTGCCTGGCATCCTGGTGAGCATGGCTGTAATAAGGCATGGTGTGGCAGGAAGGATAAGCCACCAGAGGCTCTAAAGACTAAGGAAAAACACAGGTTAGAATCAATCCAAAAAGGCACAAAAAATACACAGAAAGCTCCAGAAGTTAAAGGCTCAATGACTATACCACAGTAAAGGTAAAACAATAAGGCATTGCCTGTCTGGAAAGCTGGAGTTTAAAAGCAGGCAGCTGATAAGGTGATTGCCAGCAGGTGTGGAGAAGATCCAGTTGCACGAGAGTAACTACACCCACAAACACAGACAAAACACACACAACACAGAGGGAGAGAAAACTCCAAAACACAAAGAAAACATTAATCTAACCCCAAGTCTCTGCCGGACCGTGACAACATTCCCGGTTTGAACAGGTTGTATGAAAGGGGCTATAGTCTGGCACAGCTGCTTTCCAGGGGTTCTGCCTCTTGGAGCAGGCAGATGGGGTCATGGGAGATGGCGTCAGGACTGTCCAAGATCAGTTGGGCTGGTCATAAATGGAGTGGGGGGCTTTAGGTTTGTAGTTGGTGATCCATCTGGAGGAAACTTCATTTCAGCAGGTAGAAACCTTGAGCAGAACCTAGATTCAGGGTGGGCTGTCATCGGCCTCAACCGATCAGAGTACAGTCAGCTTTTCTCACTGCCTAACTAAATATGTAAATGAACTCTCTTGGTCATGTGCCCACTCCTAAATACTTCTTCCATTTGCAACTGTAGCTGTTTGAGTTTAGTTGTGATCCAGGGTTTGTCATTGCTATAACTCACCCTTGTGTGTGTTGGTGTACAGCAGTCCTCAAAGAAGCTTATGTAGGATGTCACAGGCTCTGTATTATAATATTATTATATTCCCAATGATTGTGTGCAAAGTCCACATATTTCCTTCTCCTCTGGCATTTCACTACGTGAACAGAGGTGAGAGCATCTTTTACCAGAATGTCCAGTAATTTCACTGAGACTTGAGATAAACAGAGCCCATGCAAGAATTACAAAGAATGAAATGTCTTAAGTCCAAAAAACTAAACCAAAATCCATAGTATTATAATTATCAAGGTACCTCTGAATGAACAACAGTATGCAGTTGGGTCAAACGGTTTAGCCTATTTACATTTAATGACACCTCATTTCCACACAACTTTAGTACAGCTCTGGTACTATTATGTACCTTTGCCCCATATTATTTAGTACGTCAGTCATGTTGAGATAATTACATTTTACTGTAAATTATCATTTCTTATGATTATGTTACCTTGCAACCAGAACTACATAGGGAGAAGTTCATTTTCTGGTTCAGATAAGTACATGTTATTTTTGTTGTGATTGCTCATTGGCTCTGATGCTGGTCTGCACTAGACTGGTAGACACTGGTCTGCATTAGATAATTTTATAGACTGTACAAATGTTGCCATCCTCCACAGTAAAGGAAGATAAACATTATATTCCTTGTCCTGAGTAATCTAGCCCCCTGCAAGTAGACATTTGAATGTCCCCTGTTGGTTGAAGCTAACAGTTCTCTCTGATGGATTAGTCAAGTTGATTTATCTACCTTACTGAAATGAATGGAAAACAATGGCTTGGAAACAAAAAATTAAATTTCTACAGCCCAAATTAAAATGACTACATACATTGTTTCTGAAAAGACAAGATCACATGGTCTTAAAGCTCGTTATGGTTTCATGTTGCAGAACGTGTAGCTCCTGTAAACAACTATGACACTCTGCAGTATTCTTTGCTTTCCTTAAGGAGTTTTCATTATTCATACTACTATAGCTTATACTGAAATGTAAAGCTAATTGCCTTATCTTTCTCACTCTAGCACTCTATCTATCCCCCGTTTTTCCTCATACAGAAACAATAGTTGACTAATAGGTTTTTGTTTTTTTTTTACTTTTAAATCACCACATTACCACATTATCACATTATTAGTATAGTAGCTGACTTGAGGAAATGACTAAATTCAGCATCCTCTTGCTCCCTTGCATCTGTCTGAAATTTAGAGAAATGCAAATTTAGTCCTTCACATAAACACTCAGCTTTACCAAAGGGAAGGCTGAACTGGGAGGCACAATGCTGTAAGACTTTATTTAAGAGTCTTTATTACAATATCAGCCACTCACAACTCATCAAGCAAAGAAAATGAAAAAAGCAACAACCTGGCCGTGTCCCTTTCAGCTACAGTGAGCTGACGAAGCACAAAGAAAAACAGAGATCCGGAGCTCTCCCACATTAGGGTCCACAGTCATTATAGGCATTTAGAAAAAGCATTAGCTGCCAGGCTGCGTATCGTTAGCGTCTTCATCCCTGTGTTACAGCTGACCCTGGAGTTAGCGCCGGGTGTGCAGTTAGCCCTGCTCTCCTTTGCTAAACAGCTCCAGGGGCAAAAATAATGATCTTTACAGACATGCCAATGCTATCTGGACCAGATAACACTGCTTTAATGACTCCTTATCCTTTGGCCCTTTCAAGGAGATGGGCGCCCAGGCAAATATATTCCTGTTGTTGGGTCATTAGCTCTTTATTGCAGAGATAATGGACTTCTGTATTTTTGGTCTGATTTGAGTATAGCCTACTACCCAAATGAGTACAACTCTCTGAAAGATTAGTCAGCCCTCAATAACAATACGCAACACTCAGGTCACCATTACTGATTCACCAATCAGAGGACAACATACAAATTTATGACATTTGCTCTTTAAAAAGACAAACATCAAATGAGTATATAAATGTCTGGATAATGATTGTACCAATTGTTTGCACCAAAGTCATGGCTCTCTGAAGTTGTTAAAGAACTATCTCACCACTAATTATGTAGATGTTCCATCTGTTCTGGTACTTTGTGTTAATATTTGTGTCCATTAACACTAGGACCCACTTTGGAACTATTCAGGTCAGTCAAAGGGGCCTTGATCCGATTTTGACCCCTCCCAAATCAAGGAGCAGTAAACTAATACCATACAGTGTTCTGCAAAGATAACCGCTGTGGAATTAGGAATGCAGCTGCTTTATCTCAACTGTCAAAGTTAAACTCACAAGCTCCCAGTTGAGCACTGCTGTGTTGGGGTTCTCCCTGGAAAATGAGAGGGTTGCCTCCATGCGACTCCGAGCTGCTGGGGGAAGGTTCTGATTGTGTATATGCACCAAACAGCAACTCAAAGTACCCGCCATTCTTGAAGTCTCTGGGTGGTGTCCTGGAAGGGATTCCATCTGGTGACACTATAGCTCTCCTGGGAGACTTCAACGCTCATGTGGGCAATGATGGAGAAACCTGATGG